CCAATGATGCAACTGGATTTCTTTACGATTTATTGAACGATACATGATTGCAGGCACGAAAAAAGAACTGAATGACCTCGAGGTTGTTTACCGAATATTAAAACTCATGATATTCATGTAACTGTTCGAAATTTTAACATGTAATTCAAAATTATTGTTCAAACCTGAAATTTTAATTGATGCATAATAAATCAGTGAAATTCTATTTGATTAATACTCGAGACAGTTTTTATTACTATAGGTAGAGGATCGAAATATAAATATATATAAATAGAGGATCGAAAAATCTGTGTTTGTTAAACATTTTTATAATTTTGTAACGTAAAACGTATTTCGAAATGAATGAATATGAATTTGAGAAATAATATATATTTTCATTTAATAAAATACATTATGTTCCTCTTATCAGATCTTGCGATTTAGTAATCAAAACGTGGCGATATGGAGAGTAATAATCGATAAGATTTGAAAATTATTTTCACTGCACAGTGCTCGCTTCTGCATTACCGACAGCGGCAGTGAACTCACTATACATGTACTGATCTCAGCCACGAGGTGGTAGAAGTGACTGAGGAATTCGAAAAGTAGCTTCAAATAAATCGAAAAATTTTGTTAAATAATAATAAAACGTTAAAGGCGTTTTGCTCTCTCTACATGTCGTTTAACCACGTAAAGTTAAATAATGTAACGTTACATTTGTCAAAGTCTGCGAAATCATTGTGTTGTTGGAATAGACAAAAAGTTCTTTTAAAATTGAATTTATGAAAAACTGCGGTTAATGAAAAAAAAAGACAACATTTGGGTTCACGTAGCGCATTAAAATCGTCTATTGGTCTTCGAAACATAAGAAAAAATAAAAATTTGTCGGTCAATGTAATTGACACATGATCGAAATTATCAATAATTGTAAAAGCTACTGTATCAACGCGTTAAGTTTATTATATATAATTTAAAAAGATCAATTTTTACTAGTAAGTAATGATCTAGAATTGATCAAAATTATCAATAATTCTAAAAGCTACTGTATCAACGCATTAAGTTTATTATATATAATTTAAAGAGATCAATTTTTACTAGTAAGTAATGATCTAGAGTTGGTACTGTTGCCGCCTGCAGTCGATTGTGAACATCATCCGGCTGGTACCTTTGCCGGATGTGGTCATCGGATCTCGTTCGCATGAAATTAACTTATCTGATTCGAGTAATATACTTAAGCGAATATGTCGGAATGACGATTTTTCTTTTTTACAGTAAAGCAGAACGTTCGTTTTCTGATTTTCTGCTTATATAAATCAACGATGAAGGACGCATTTTCAATTAAAATTCTTATAAGCATAAATCGTATTGAATCACTGTTTGTATGAACTGCACTGTAGTACAGTGTTCATTGTGAATGTCTGTATCCAAATAAATTCTGCATTTTTTCGTATCTCGATGGATTACTGTTGCACGTACAAACTATTTCTATAAATATTTTCTGTATTGTATTACTTGAAATAATATAAAAAAATATATATAAAATATGAAATAATATAAAATAGAGAACAGTATGTCCACAGCTATGATTATAACACTCGCGTGTTATATTATAACACTTATTTCTATAAGTACTTTCTGTATTGTATTATTTGAAATAATATAAAAAAAATATATAAAATATGAAATAATATAAAATAGAGAATGGTATATCCACAGCCATGATTAGAACACTCGCGTGTTATATTATAACACTTATTTCTATAAATACTTTCTGTATTGTATTATATTTGAAATAATATAAAAAAAATATATAAAATATGAAATAATATAAAATAGAGAACAGTATATCCACAGCCATGATTATAACACTCGCGTGTTATATTATAACACTCCTCTACCTGGTTTATGTTTATCTATTGTTTTGTATCGCGTCTACTCTAATTACACCGCTAATAGTGTATCCCATCATTGATTCCTGTAAATGAGCTATAGTTGCTTATGCTCAGTTTTATCATGTTAAGTACATCTGGATTAGGTTTACACAACAAATTATATACATATACATATATATATATATATACAGTGCGAAAAAAATCTTTGAAAACAATTAATTAAATATATTTTGAAATATCCGCAGAAACCATTTGAAATATAAAAATGTATTTATCGAAAACATTTTATATATAACAGAAACATATAAGAGCAGAAAACAATATTCAAAATAGTATCTACAGATTGTTCATCGTCGCTTTTCGTTATAGTACCAAGAATTTGTTTCATTGCTGTTGGAACCGAACGCGTAAACGTGAATGAAACAAGTTAAAAAAATCTCGTAAACCGTGGGAAAGCGTGTAAATACGAATCGTGAAGAAGAATTCCATGTAAAAAAAAAAGCAAGGCTCAGAGGAATTTCGACCCATGTAGTCTTTTGTCTGTGACTTCCGCGAGTACGTAAACTGTCTAACAGACATTTGCCAGATGATTCCCAATAAGAAAGTAGAAAGTGGGAGAGAGGTTGAAAAGCTGCACGCGCGTAGAGAAAAGGTCGAAAACGTTTTTCCGTCTTCGGAGCCTTCCTTGTCATAAATCTTGTGCACAAGTGGCCGAAAATCCCCGCGGAAAAAAACGTTACCTCCTAATTCTCCGCGGTTCTCGAATTTCCCGAATGCAAACGCAAACCCTTTGTGCAGAGATTTTAGACAAATGGAAACGACGATACTTTTGTGATTTAGAAGTTTCGATTCACCTGATTCTAGAAGCTAATTTCAGAAAACAAAAAGCACTGCCAAATTCGTAATGTTATAAAAGGATAAAAAAAATGTTAAAAAGGATATTTTCATTGTAATTATCATTTCCGAATGGGCTTTCTCGAATTTTTACCTTATGAGCATTACTTTCTTTAAGAGCAATGATTTAAGAATATTTGAAATAAGAAATATTTCACTAAAATTAAATATAGTTCTATTCAACGAATTTTTCATATATTAAAAATGACTTATCGTTATATTAGCTATTTCAGTAACTAGATCTGATCCTCCGTTTATTTTTACAACGTGTAAAACGAGAAAATATTCCAGAAAAATGTGTATTTGCAGTCTTGTAGATAATAGTTTACTGAACTGTTGGAATTGTACGAATGGTATATTAACAAAATGAAATTCGTTCCCTGAAAAGGCGAACAACACGGATATTTATAATATAATATAATATAATATAATATAATATAATATAATATAATTTATAATATAAAATAGAAGACAATGTATTTAGTGCCATCGAAATTTCAAAAAACTGTTAAGCCTCTTAAGGAGACAGGACAACACCTCTAACAGCTTCTTTATCTAATGTTTAGTGGAACCGTAAGTGCTCGGGCAGCAAACATAAACCAGACCTTCGTCTCGGCTGTAAAGAAGATCCGCCAACCTTTAGCTTGTTTCATTGCTTTCACGTGGTCCACAGAAGTTTTGCTAGACATTGACTTAGCCTGGCCATTCTGGGATTTTTTTTTATGACCCTCCATATAATATTTAATGAGCAAACGAATATAACTTTTTACCGATAGATGTAAAGTCTACATATTTTCTCGTATTTTGTTCAATATTTGCAATACTTTCTCATTTTCAATCTCACGTGATATACATATATACATTGCAACGATATAGTTTACACACACGTAATGTAAATAGTATTTTTTCGTTGATCATTACACTAAACTGTGGTTATAATGTTATAATAATATATATAATTAATATATATAATAATAATAATATATATATAAGAGATTTAAAAATATAATTTAGGTAAATATATCTTGTAAATATATGATTCCCTAATTTTGCAAACGTAAAAATCGGATTAAGATAAAAAAGATACATTGTTTACTATGAAAACTCGTTCTTTGTCCGTGTGGAATGTACATTTGTGTACGTGTATGTAATATAATTTTAGCTGTTACACGAACAATTTTATTTCATTTTGTTATTCGATATTTATTATATCTATTATCTAATGCAATTGTGAGATATTAATAAAAACATTACAAAAATGAGTAAAATAATAACGGTCAAATATTATATAATTGAAAAAGTGGAGAAAATTCGAGATGGGAAATGAACATATGTAAATAAAATATTAATAAACGAATGGTACAAAAATTAGCAGTTAATAATTTATAAGATGCACGGAATTGACGAAAGTAATATTTGTGACTACAATCTGTAAACCTTCGTTATGATTAGTAGACGCAAAGACTCTGAGAATGTGACCTTGGTTTTTGTCTGGAGCAATTTTTTCAAGTTATTTTATATGTACACAATAGTTCTACTGAAAGCTACGGACAAATATTGTATGTATACACACGTTCGACAAAAATTCGTTTAGCAACTTGTCAAGAATAACTAACAATTGTAACATATATGTATGTATACAAACATATACGTAATAATAACTAATAACTAATATAATATAAATAATAATATAAATAATATATAATTATATATTATTTATATCATATTAGTTATTGCACACAAAATGCCAAATTATTGATTACGTTACTAAATAAATGGTTGCTGTTTGTTAAATTTGATTTATATATTAATAACGAATAAATATCGCAATAATATAAATATAGATATAATAATAATAATAGAAAATAGTAATACTTTCTTAATATTCAACCTAATAAATAATGTCTACAATAGAATAAATATTTCATCCACACACCTACGAAATAGGTCGTGTTTTGTTTTCACAATTATTCTAAGTTATCCGTGAAACGTGAGAAATATTAATTTATAGTTATAATATTATTTAAATAAATGCATTCGATTGAAGATAATTATTGATTTTTCATTCAAGTACATAAAAACTTTTAATAAAACACAAATGTATGTCGACGGAGGGCTACGGAATATATTGATACGATACTGCGCACAGTACGCAGTAAGCGACGCGCATGCGCCCTCCAGTAAAACTCGATAGCCGAAGCTGATTCGCAACTGTCGTATATTTCAAGTTGGCTAGTCTGCAGTTCTTTGTTCGCAGATAGAGGCGACGGTGACGGTTAGATTCGTCAGCAGTTTTCAACGTGCTGTTAGGCAGTTTCATTCGTCTCTCGACCTCGACAGTGAACAGAGATACACACACACAGTTTAACGTGTTAATTTGTCAGACCAATTCGAACCAGTTGCCTTTGTTCATATTTTTTTTTGATAACAATTAAAGGTAAGTACTGTGAAATGTGTGCTTATATTTGATCATTATCGTTCGGCCATATTTGCCGGTAATCGCAATGTTTTATTTTATCGATATGCACGTGCATACCCTAGAGTACACGTTAAACTACCGAAGAAGGAAAGATTCAATTCGTTCTATGTCATTTGTTGTTACTGTAACGAAATATTACATATAATATACAGATTATTGTTGTGCGTAAAATCAACGTCGATACTTCTAGGAATGTGGGAACATTTTATGTAATATGTGTTCGAAGATAAACTCTAAATATTGCTAGGTCAAAGAAAAACCATAGACAAAACTGTTTTGCGAACTTCTGTTATTTCGTGCTGAATCTCTCGGAAACGTGACTGACGCTTATGTAAATGTACTTCGATGTATGTTTATACTGTACACATCGTTCGTAAAAAAAGCTGCACGTTAAATTAAGCTATTTTATCTTTAACATACCGATAGTTCAATGGTCTGGATATTCTTTATATGGTAAAATGATTAAATGCTGTGCTGGAAATCTTTTCGTCCATATACATATATATATATAAATATATGTATAGATTTGTTACGTGTATTAACGTAACTTATTTAGATCTGTGGAAATGAAATTAAAAATGCATAGAAGAATAAATAGATAAATGCATAGAAGAATAAATGCATAGAATAAAAAGAATCGAGTGTGTATATAGTAAATTTTTGTAAAAAATAGTGGTATTCGAACCAAAAAGCTTAACTTACAATTATGAAATGTTTTAGATAAAATGATTACAAGAACTTTTGAAAAGTACATTTTTTGGGCAGATGTCGCGTAAAAATTTGATTGTGTACATGTACATGTACTTTACAATATTTCCATTAATTGTCCATTACATTATAAATGTTAATCTATGAATGTATATTGTGTTTAAATACTTCTGTAATTATTTTTTTTTACATATTTCTATTTGAATTATTTGTATCAGAAAGCATATAGTTTATAATAGAGTTATATTTACAGATTATAATGATGGATGACGATTGGGATCATGATGCTACGCAAATTTCTACCTCAGATTCGAATAATGTAAGCATACATTATTTTGTCAATTTAAATAACGTAATAATTGCAAATGATATTTGAATTTGTTTGAATTATTTTTAATGCAGTTCGATGACGGTGGACGTAGCTATGGAAAAGGACGAGGATTCATAATAAAAAATAATAACAACGATGAGTGGAGACCAGGTAGCAAAAGCTACGACGAAGAAAGTACCAACCATGATCACTCAAATGATGACAATAATTACGATAACATTGGTAGTTACGAAAGATCTGACAGAGGCGGAGGTAGAGGAGATGGTTATAGAGAAAGATTAAAGGGTAGAGGCGGCAGGGAAGGATTTAAAAGTCGAAATAGAGATGATGATGATAAAAATGGTAGCAGTGGTGGATATGGAGGCCACAACAGAGACTATAATAACGACGACGGAAATAGTGGTAGCAGAGGTGGATACAGAGGCCGTAACAGGGACGATGATAATGATGGAAATAATGGTAGTAGAGGTGGATACAGAGGCCATAATAGGGATGATGACGGAAATAATGGTGGTAGGGGGGGATATAGAGGCCGTAACAGGGATGACGATGGTGGAAACAGTCGTGGCAGAGGTGGATTCAGAGGACGTTATAGAGACAATGGTGATGAAAGTGGTGGTGGTGGTGGTGGCTATAATGAAGAACCTCAGAGACCAAAAGAAAATTACATTCCACCAGAATTAGCTTCTGATGATTCTTTGTTTGAAAATGGTGTGGCCGTTGGCATTAATTTTGATAAGTATGACAACATCAAAGTTAAAGTAACTGGAGATAATCCACCTAACGAAATACATGATTTTGAATCAGCTGGTCTTAGAAGCATAGTACTTGATAATATCAGAAAATCAGGATACACAAAACCAACTCCGGTGCAGAAACATGCTTTACCTATAATAATGGAAGGTCGTGATTTGATGGCGTGTGCACAGACGGGTTCAGGAAAAACTGCTGCATTTGCAATTCCTATTATTAACACATTATTAGAGAAGCCTACCGACTTAGTTGTATCCTCATTTCATTGTGAACCACAAGTTGTTATAATATCGCCTACCCGCGAGCTTACTATACAAATTTGGCAACAAGTTGTTAAATTTTCATTACATTCAATCTTGAAGACTGTTGTTGCATATGGTGGAACCTCTGTTCAACATCAAAGTGGGAAACTTTCCGGAGGTTGTCACATTCTCGTTGCAACACCTGGAAGATTATTAGATTTTCTAGACAGAGGAAAAATTAAATTTTCTTCGGTCAGATTCCTTGTATTGGACGAAGCAGATCGTATGTTGGACATGGGATTTCTACCTTGCGTAGAAAGAATTGTGGACCATGCAACAATGGTTCCTTTGGAGGAGAGACAAACATTAATGTTCTCTGCTACCTTTCCAGATGATGTACAAGGCTTGGCAAAGAGATTTTTAAACAATTATGTGTTTCTCGCAGTTGGCATCGTAGGTGGGGCATGTTCAGATGTTGAACAAAAGTTTTATGAAGTTGAGAAGAGGAAAAAGAAAGAAGTGCTGAAAGATGTTTTGGAGAAAGAGAATGATGCTGGGACATTGGGTGGTACTCTAGTATTTGTAGAGATGAAGAAGAAGGCTGATTTTATAGCAGTATTTCTATCTGAAAACAATTATCCCACTACTAGTATACACGGTGACAGATTGCAAAGTCAACGGGAAGAAGCGTTGGCTGATTTCAAAAGAGGAAAAATGTCTATTCTAGTAGCTACAGCAGTTGCTGCTAGGGGATTGGATATTAAAAATGTTTCTCATGTTATAAACTACGACTTGCCAAAAACAGTTGACGAATATGTTCATCGAATTGGTAGAACAGGTCGCGTGGGCAACCGCGGAAGATCAACATCGTTCTTCGATGCCGACCAGGATGAACCTATTCGAAATGACCTTGTGAGGATATTGAAACAGGCGAATCAACCTATTCCAGAGTGGATGATTTCAGGAAATTCGAAACGAAACTTTACGCCCGGTAGAGGAAATCAATTCGGTGGAGAAGATATCAGAGATGTAAGTGAATTTTGATAGTAATTAGACTGATCCGATGTTAATAATAGTAATTATCTATTAAAATTGTGATGAATGATCACTATTTGTATTTTTCTTGTTTACAGTTCGAACCAAACAGTGAACAGTATGGCGAAGAAGCATACACACCTGCTCCGTCAGCCAACGAACCAGAAGAATGCTGGTAGATAACTATTTCTTTCACCTATACGTTTTTGTTATGACATCAGAACAACGATACTACGCGATTTTTTCATTCGTTTCACTGCAATCAGAGATACAGAGTAGCTCTTTTCCTAATTACGTTTATACAAGTAGACTTGTATGTATCATGTAACAGGTTTTAGTTGAATTTTTATTTTCTTTATTATTTGTTCCGACAATAGCCAGTGACGTATTTGACATTAAAGCATAGAGACTGTACCGTGTACCTCTTTAGAAGTAGATTAAGTACAAAATAACGGGACAATGTTACCTTTGTTGATGCGGCGAGTTTAATTTTAAGAGACATTACATAATTTACGGAAATCTCATTTAGTCTGCATTCAAAGATGCGGTATTATTATTATTATTACAGTACTTCTCCATCGATCGTACAAACGTTAGTTTTTAAGAAGTTATAAAAAGATGATAAAGTATCGTAGAAAGCATATATTATTTTATAAAGTAATACTCTATAATATTATGTTAAGTGTTTTATACGTTCCTTTTTGTAATAAAATATTAAAACAGAACTACTTTTTTTCAAATACCTACTACAAGTCAGTTCTTAATTTTTTTAATCGATTATAAAATTTTGCGAAGAAGGTAAAAATATATTTGTACATACCGTCGTTCATGGCCATGTCCATCAGATGCAAGTCCTCATCGTTAAGTAGGGATGAAAGAAAACCGTCGGTGGTTTGATTAATCGAGTCTGAGGTTGGTGTGTGATAGTACATCATATCTCCGGGTTCAGATTTATATGTAGCTCCGCTTTCTGCGCCCATCGGTTCACTACTGTTTGTCAAATTCATTGATGTTGCCACGGCTGAACCCAGGTTCGATGATCCACCTGTGGCAGTGAGTATTTTAGTTCCAAATGATTGGATCGCAGATAATACGTTTTACACTTATATTGATTATAAGACATATTAAAAAATTAGACATATAAATTTGTATCGAATCTAATTTAAAAGAATTAGGCGGTCGCTCAGGATAGCACGAAAAACATGTAATGATTATTTCAATTGCGAATGCTAATCGAGGTTCATACGATAGAATTGTTATATATATAATATCAAATATAATATTATATATAATAATAATATTATATATATATATTATTAATTATATATTATAATATTATTATATATAATATTATATATAAAATTTATATATAATATCAAAAGTATAAAAAATTGTAAACTGCTTTATTATGAGATTATGACGTAGTTACTGAGCTTAAGACCTATTCAACAATCTGAAAATAACGAAAAATATGATTCTGAGAAACGTTTTTCCGTATTTGACGTCGACATTTTTTTCATATTATGAAAAATAAATAAAATGTTCCCCAAGTAAATTAAGTTACGTTGTTCGCTCACTATTTCTTCATACAACAATTGTACAATTAATCTGGTCATGTACTCACCCACATTATGGTAGGGGCTCGTGGAATTAAGATCACCCACGGGTGGTGCCAAAGTGGCATTATGAAGCAGTACGTTACGCTGCGCCTCATAATGACTGTGACTTATACCGTGGCCAGGGTACCCAGGATGTGCAGGATGCGCAGGATGTGCAAAATGGTCTGGTGCACCGGGTAGTGACAGAAGAGATGCCAAATCTTGCCACCGTTGTTCCATGCTCATTGCACGCACGAATGGCATGCGACCCTGAAACATAACGAACAACAGTAGAAACTAACAACCATTTTTCTTTTAATATTAACCCTCGAATGGAGGACATTTTCACAGCTATATAATTGTCGCTATTTATGATTATTGTCAGCTTTATTCGTCAACTTTTCGAAACATATTTTTTTCAGTTACTTGACGCAGATCTATTAATCTCTTGTTGGTCTCAGAGCAACAGCAATTTATTAATTAGGAGACGATGTAAATACACTGGGGTCATTATTAATATTTATATTATTATTAATAATAAATAATATAATAATAATAATTATATTATTATTAATAATAAATAATATAATACTAATAATAATAAATAATAATAATTATATTATTATTAATATTTTAACCGGTAATCGCAGGCCGAGGGTTAATTGTATCTCACTGCTCCCTAAATTTTCTAAGACAGTCGTCATTCTCTCTAAAGTCACGTGAACATTGTGTACCAATGTTTTTATTATAATAGACATTTGTGTTGAAATTATTGTACCTACTTTACCTTTTTGTACAAATCAGCGTCTGAAATTCCGATGGACTGAATATTTATATTTTCAGAGGCGGATCGAAACGAAAGTGGAATTAAATAAAGTTTCGTGTACTTGGTTAATAATTGCCGTTGAATCGAAGTAAGACAGAATGCTTGATATCGTATCACGAATTCTTGTTTTTCAAATTATAAACAATGATACGATTCAATTGAAAGAAGATTGCTTTCAACCTTATCGCGACTCATAGAAAACAAGATACTTCGCAGATTTGACGAAAAAGACAGAATTATAAAAAGATGATAACGTGCTATCTTATCTACTAATTTTTTTTTTCTTCACACGTAGGTGTACACTCGATGGATTTTATAGTAATAGCTATCTATTGTTAGGGAACTCAAGCGTGATCGCTTGATGTCATATATTTTCACTGTATGCATGCGTTGAGTTAAATGATTTATACTAGGTGTCTGATAATAAATGGGATTAGATATTGCTTCGTGAAAAGATTAAAAAATATTATAGTCCGTTCGTAATGAAAGGCTCAATATAATCCAGTGATTACATTGATGAAAAATTAATTATGAATAAACTGCAGGTTTGATCAATTTATGACAAAAGTGTGCAAAATAGCAATGATATTTAAACGATTTGCAAACGTTAATGTGTTCCTGTCAACTTATCAAAATTATTAAGAAAATAAATAAATGACTGTGTATAGTTCCTGCATCTTACAATTAACGTTATAATTATAATATAATATATAATATTGTTGCACCATTTCGTGAATTTCGTGGCGTTATCGATTTCGAAATAAGCGGGTTCAAAGGTCGAACAAAGCAAAAAAGCACCGCTACATTGTTATAGGGCCAAACGTCTGCCTGTTTACGGAGGAATCCCGTGGCTATCTCGAACCTGTCAAATGTCAACTAGCGGATGTTCGGATTCCAAGAGACAGAAACCCCTGCTGGTTGCATAGGCGTTGCCCGCCCGTAAAGGCCGTCCCGATATTAATGACTTTTGGTGTCTCGTGTCAAAAGTATTTTGTGCCACGAATAACGGACGCGCATCGATTACGATCGCGAATGCCGAGTTTCGAATGGAATTATGGAAATCATGGGCCGATAAAAATGCTCACGTTGATACGACGCTGTGAACCGTTCCTCCAATGACGCGGTGATATAACGTTAATCGTATGGTAGAGGTTGAGTTCTCAAATTTTAGAGGACGTATGAACAAATTCAGATTGCAATGCACAGAGAATTATGCACGTGCATTTCGTGATTACATGTTACGGATAGCAAAACGATCTTTCATCGACGGCGTAGTTCGAGTAGTATATTTTGACGGCTTCGCGAATTTTATGAGACATTGGCAGTAGCATTGTGTTCAAATTCATATGCATAAAATGCACTTTGTTATATAAAACAGAAATACCATAAGTCGGAAAAATTATTTTACATTTACGGTTAAAATGGCTTCGAGTGCAAAGGGTTAATTATCTCCTTGCCATACTTCGACGAGTCCGAGAAAGGAAATTGTAGAGGACGGTAAAAAAGAAAATTTGAATTATTATTATTATTATTATCGAAGACGGAAGATCTCGAGAAGTTTTCGATTTTCTGTTCATACAGTTGTTCTTTCTCTCGAATTTCAAAGTCGTTCACATTAGAATCACCAAGCATGATCGATTTGCATCACTCTTTATAGATAACAAGATAAATATTATTCTCTAGTTGTCGTAGTTATTTTCAATATAAATAAAACTTAGAGACATCGAAATTCAATATAAATAAAATTCAGAGACATCGAAATTCAATATAAATAAAATTCAGAGACATCGAAGTTCAATATAAATAAAATTTGGAGACATCGAAATTCAATATAAATAAAATTCAGAGACATCGAAATTCAATATAAATAAAACTTAGAGATATCGAAATTCAATATAAATAAAATTTAGAGACATCGAAGTTCAAAATAAATAAAATTCAGAGACATTAAGATCATAGAGACATCGAAAAAAATGCGCCGAGTAGAACGGTGTTAAGGCGAAGCACGTCGGTGGACGTGGTTAAAAAAGCCAAGAAACGCGACTGCGAAGTGACACAGCGGTCCGGAGGGTTAAAGAAGTGTATCAATCGGAATGTTTGCCGAGTGTCGGTCGGCCGGCCGAATTAGGCACGAGTCATCAAATAATAACGTGCAATAAAATGTGGGAGGTTTATCGGAAGGAGGCGAGAAGAGCGGCCGCCGCGCGTAAGTGTGGTAGTAAGCCGGTGGCGCTTAATGCGCGCTGGTATTGTCGCTAATGCGTTTGGTCGCAAGAAGAAGATGAATAGGGAAGATGGCGGGGCAGCCGCGTGGATCCGCCGCGATTGTTGTTCGGCCAGCATCAATCAGCCGGGCCCCGGCGCAATCTGTCGAGCGCGAACCTTTAAGGTGATTCTTGCTTGTCAGCGCATCTGTCGGCCGTAAGTCGCGAAATGTAGGACGAGACGTTTGTTCCGCGGCGATTTGTCCTGTTCCGAGCGTGCGTTTTCTAATAGCGCGGCTTTACCACGCTCGTCCTGTTTCGACGGGACAACGCTCATCATCGAATCTCCCTCCGCAGAAAAACCGGGCCGCGTTTACACCGTTTCTAAGAACGACGGCAGAGCGTTGTTTAGTTTTCCAGATCCCCGGACGCCCGGTCCCGGACCGCCACTTACTGCGTTCGCTAACATTTTCTCCTTTTAACCTTTTAGGCCCGACGCGCCACTATAGCGGCTTTCGCGGATGTCGTCTCTCTGGACGACGCGCCGCTATAGTTGGCTTGCTCTGGTGGCTCACTCGATCATCGTTTGAACCAAATAATCGTCTTCGTATGCATTGTTTCACGCTTCTTTTGTCTTCGCATCGATTTACAACAGTCTACAGGATGTTCCAAAAATGTCTCGGAATCCGGAAGTGGCGGGTTCCTCGGATCATTCGAAGCAACTTCTTCCTTTACAAAAATGTTCTCCGAGGCACCGTTAACGAGTTATGAACGAACGAACAGTGACCAATAAGAATCGAGTACGGCTGACGCGAGGCGGCTCGGTCAACCAGCGCGCGAAGCCCAGTTCCGCTCATTGGCTCGGTCGCCACGCGCCAGCCGAGCCCGCCTCTCATTGGTCACTGTTTTTCGTTGATAACTCGTTAACGGTGCCTCGGAGAACATTNTTCGATGACTTTCTATTACGTAACTTTTGATGTTGCTACGTTTATAAATGCCCAAGGGTCGTGAATTGTAACCATTATTTGTTTATGAAAATGATTTAAATCGAATGATGTATGATGAAGATGAATGATTCTCCCCGATAGTTCTGTAGCTTGTAATCAAAAATGGACAATCTAAGCCCCTATTAGGGAGGATTGACTGTATATGTATAATTAAATATATGTATGTTTCTATATTAGAAATAATAAAAAATAGAAAATATAGTTGTTGACAATCGGCAACTATTAAAACGAGCTCAAATTGTCCATTTTTATTTACAAGCTGAAGGACAATTGGGGAGAATTTACTGTATATATGCTAGAAAATACATTCAAGCTAGTAACGATCGTATTTTAATTTTCGGAGTAGAACTATCCGACTTGGCGCGGATTATTCGCGCTGCATGCTTTATCTTGTAATAAAATCTTGCACGATTTTGTGGAATTTAATTTGAAATTTGCCGCACTTTCGCAAACGCTCTGTAAAATTATAACATCGCGTCGGTCGTGTATTAAAATTTAATCACCCTAGATATACATAGAATATACATATATTTTTCTACACGCGTACAGTGTAATCTGTTTAAATTTGATCATTTATAAATAAATGTGGAAATACGAATATATCGAGTACTGAACAAATTGTTCAAACGAAAGTAGAATGACCATAATAATTCAGTTTTCACTTGAAATTTAACTTATTTAATACTAATAATTATTCGGTAATTTAACTTATTTTCCACGAATTTATTCGATTTCAAATGGAATTATTGTTTTGGGCGGTTCAGACGCCCATTTCAAAAAACACTGCGCGGTGCGGCGAGGCGAGGCAAAACGTGGCGAGGCGAGGCGAGGCGAAACGATGCGGTTCGCGGGAAATCTTCATAGAACCGGGGGACCCCGGGCACCCAACAAAAGCGCAAAATCGGTATCGACGCGATTTACAATCCGGTCAAGCGATCCGCCGGGAATAATCTGGTTGCCCGGGGATTTTATAAGCGACTCGAGTGCTCTCGATCGTTTTCGCGATTTGAAAAAACGCCGAACGGTCGTCGAATCATATACGCGCTAAATAGAGGGGAGAAAGTAGGAGGAACGGGCACAGAAATAATCGAAGGGAAATAAAAGCAACGCCGCGGCGTTGGCTCGGCGAGGAAAAGAGAGGCGGGAAGAGGGGTAGATGAGAAGAAAGAGAGAGAAAAATAGAAAGAGAAAGAGAGAGAGAGAGAGAGAGAGAGCAAAAGAGAACGAGCACAT